TGGCTAAATTAAATTGCACTTGTTATAATCGCAAGTTTGACCTATTCTGCACGTCATATATATATATATATATATATATATATATATATATATATATATATATATATATATATATATATATATATATATATATACACACATGTCGTAGCTGGGGGATCGAACCCGTGTTGTTTTAGCTCGCCTCATGGTGAGTGAAAATTCACGACGCTCTAGCCCAGGGGACCATGCAATCCTAAAAGAATCACGCACCCAGCAGAGCTAGGTGTTGTGCCATGATCCGAGGACATACGATGGTGTGGGTTCCTCAGAGCTAATTTCATTCTACTCCCCGTTTGGGGTACTAGCCTCCACAAGCAGTATATATAGTATTATAACCACTAACAAATGGTATTTAATCAATAACAACACTGCGACTTGCCGGGGGATCGAACCCGTGTTGTTTTAGCCCCCCCTCATGATGAGCGAAAATTTCACGACGCTCTAACTCACGGGCCCATACAATCATCTCAAGAATCACACACCCAGAATAGCTAAGTGTTGTTCCGTGATCCAAGGACATTCGAGCGTCACAGTATTTTCACTCACCGTGAGGCGGGCTAAAACAACACGGGTTCGATCCCCAGTCTAGTCACATTGTTGTTATTGACTAACTACCATTCGTTCGTGGCTACAATACGATATATACTGCTTGTGGAGGCTAGTACACCAAACGGTGAGTTGAATGAAATTTGCTCTGAAGCACCAACACTACTATATTTCCTCTGATCACGGCACAACATCTAGCTCTGCTGGGTGCGTGATTTTTGTGGGTATATATATATATATATATATATATATATATATATATATATATTATATATATATAAATTATATTATATTATATGCAGGGAATTCGAAAGAGCAGGCCAAATATACGCAAACACTGATCTCTGGCCGAAGGAGATTCGAACCTACGAACCTTGGAACAAGGTACACAGTGCCTTGCCATTCTCACCACACTGGACCAATACCTTGGCGTCCAGCTTGCGCTAGACGTTTGATCCAAGGCAACCAGCTTTCATGGAGAAGGCTTACAGCTTTTCATCTCATCCCCTGCATGCATCATCAGCCTTACTAGAGATTTTAACAATGCAAGGAATTCGCAAGAACAGGCGAAATATACATAAACACTGATCTCTGGCCGAGTTCAGTGTTTACGAATTCCTTGCATTGTTAAAATCTCTAGTAAGGCTGATGCATGCAGGGGATGAGATGAAAAGCTGTAAGCCTTCTCCCTGAAAGCTGGCTGCCTTGGATCAAAGTCTAGCGCAAGCTGGACTCCAAGGTATTGGTCCAGTGTGGTGAGAATGGCAAGGCACTGTGTACCTTGTTCCAAGGTTCGTAGGTTCGAATCTCCTTCGGCCAGAGATCAGTGTTTGCGTATATTTGGCCTGCTCTTTCGAATTCCCTGCATATATATATATATATATATATATATATATATTATATTATATATATATATATATATATATAATTCCTACAAAAATCACGCACCCAGCAGAGCTAGATGTTGTGCCGTGATCAGAGGAAATATAGTAGTGTTGGTGCTTCAGAGCAAATTTCATTCAACTCACCGTTTGGTGTACTAGCCTCCACAAGCAGTATATATCGTATTGTAGCCACGAACGAATGGTAGTTAGTCAATAACAACAATGGTGACAGGTTTTATTGGTGCTAGGCTTACCAGACATATTTGGCAGACTGTACCTTAATAATGCAGAGATTTGAAAGCGATTGTGTACATTAACTACGCTAGTAATGGATTTAAATTAGATAAGTTTAGATTTAGAAAGGACATAGGAAAGTATTGGTTTGGAAATAGGGTAGTTGATGAGTGGAACAGTCTACCTAGTTGGGTTATTGAGGCTGGGACTTTGGGTAGTTTCAAATCTAGGTTGGATAAGTACATGAGTGGGAGGGGTTGGATTTGAGTGGGACTTTCACATCAGAGCTTATTTCTTGGGTGGCATTGAAAATTGGGTTGGGCAAATGTTTTGTTAGTGGGATGAATTGTAAAGGACCTGCCTAGTATGGGCCAGCAGGCCTCCTGCAGTGTTCCTCCTTACTTATGTTCTTATGTTCTTATGTAATGAAAATATGTCTTGAAATGTTCAGAAATATGGTTAATATTGAATACATACTATGCACAGTACTAAAAAGAAAAAAAAATATTGTGACAGTACCAATAAATTTCTAACTGTGAGTTAATTTCTGTTATCTGTATATAATATGGGAATTGAATTACACACATGACTGCTAAAAACACTGAACATGTTCAGTATACGAGCCATAATGAACATTAGCGAGAAAAATTCTCAATGCAGTTCCGCAGGTGTTCACCCCTGGAACACCTCCAGGGATACTCTAGGTAAAGTATAAAGCAGACGAACAGAAATGTTAAGATCAGTCGAGTCGTAATAAGTGGAAGTAGAATGACGAATTTCTTTTGCGTCACAAAGTGTTTGTTTTCGTAATTCAGACTTACTTTATGCACATACTTCATTGGTCTGACTGCGATTACTTAACTGTCTCAGTAGCTATTATGTTCCAGGTATAATAGTTATTTCATACAGGTAATATAAATAGGCTACTAATTTCAATTAAGTATACTTTATCAACTAACGTAAATAGAACGGTGTAAATGTAACTGTTGTTTTGTTTAACATGTTCCTTACACGGTCTTAAGTATTTGAGCTTGTTTTTTTAACTTCTAACGTGTCATAAAAGATATGGTATTTTAACTAGGATGTTATAACCCATTGAAGATCAGAATAAAAATTGTATATTTCCAAATTATACCGATTTTATTTACTTTTGTGTCTTTGTAATGTTTGGTTAAATTGTATTTACAGAACTGAAAGTTTTAAGGAATAAACTACGGTGATTTTCAAAGGTAATATTTCTTAGGAACTTCTTGTAGCATTAGAATTTTCCTGCAAAAATACAAACCTGTAATTTATGCCTTTTTATTTTCCTTTCAGATTTGTGAAGAATAATTACAAGACGAGTGAATCCTCTATGAATAATGGCCAACGAGTGAATACTCCGTGAATAATGACAAGCCGAATGAATCGTCTTTGAATAATATGCTGAGTGAATCCTTTGTGAATACTGACCAACCGAGTGAATCCTCCGTCACTAATGGCCAGCCGGGGGAATCCTCCGTGAATACTGACCAGATAAATGAATCTTTTGTGAATTTGTCAGATTCGTCAAAGAAAGTTTATTATTAAAATCAAGGATATTTTAATCACAATACTAATAAAGTTCAGCCATGAAAAAACTATAATCAGAAAACCTATGTGATATTATAACAACGAAATTAGGTGGAATAAAAGAAACAAAAGCAACTCGATATTCGTAAAGAACAGTAATGAAACGAAATTTCTGCACATTTAGTAAAGAACAGACAATGAAAGTCGTCTGGACATTTCGCGACTCCCTGTACTTGATTAGCAGTTACCAAAACAAGACCCCGTTGTTCGTGCTTCACAAGTATATTCTTGGCATGGATCCGTATGGCTCAAAACACCTCACCAACACTATCAATTAATAAATACATTACATTAATAGAATCAAGACTTCACTGTCACGTTTCAAAGTCCTTAAATTGACCTTCTGACTATTCAACTAGATTTACAGTATTATTGATGCTAGTTGCTTAATAAGATTAAAAAATCAATGGATTCTTTTTCATTGGCTCTCAGAATAATCAAAACTGATAATCGATCTGAAGAGTACAATACCCAAATTTTTCTCCCGTATTCCCTGATTTGTGAAACTATTTAAAAACAACATTCAAGGTTTCTGTTTGTTTATAAATGTTTTCAAATTATCTGCTTGGCCAGTATGAATAAAAACACTAGGTTAGGATGTCTGATCAGCCAGTTTGACTCAGATCACATCTCTGATTGGCCAGCTCGCCTAAAAAGCTTCTCACCTGATCACTGATTAACTGGAGTAAGACTTGTGTTCGAAGTTTTTTTATTGGTCAACACCACACAAGTCACTGCTCTAAGTTCTCTGGTTGGTCAACACCACTCACGTCACTGCTCGAAGTCCTCTGGTTGGTCAACACCACTCACGTCACTGCTCGAAGTCCTCTGGTTGGTCAACACCACTCACGTCACTGCTCCAAGTCCTCTGGTTGGTCAACACCACTCACGTCACTGCTCCAGGTCCTCTGGTTGGTCAACACCACTCACGTCACTGCTCTAAATCCTCTGGTTGGTCAACACCACTCACGTCACTGCTCTAAATCCTCTGGTTGGTCAACACCACTCACGTCACTGCTCGAAGTCCTCTGGTTGGTCAACACCACTCACGTCACTGCTCGAAGTCCTCTGGTTGGTCAACACCACTCACGTCACTGCTCCAAGTCCTCTGGTTGGTCAACACCACTCACGTCACTGCTCCAAGTCCTCTGGTTGGTCAACACCACTCACGTCACTGCTCCAAGTCCTCTGGTTGGTCAACACCACTCACGTCACTGCTCGAAGTCCTCTGGTTGGTCAACACCACTCACGTCACTGCTCGAAGTCCTCTGGTTGGTCAACACCACTCACGTCACTGCTCCAAGTCCTCTGGTTGGTCAACATGAAATCACAACAAGAATCAAGTATGGGAAACTATTACGTTCTCAAACTAACGCTTAAAAAATCTTTTAGGACGGATGTTAATCTCGGAGGTTACAGAAAATTTGTTAATAAAACATGAATAATATAAATAAAAGAAGTGTAAGCAGGTTTTATACATAGCGAAGGAAATATATGATAAATAGGAAAATGTAGAATGATTAGTAAGAAGACATTTGCATAATGAAAAAGAAGACATTTAACAATTTGAAATATATTTAAATTTTATTCAGTTAATAGACAGTGTTTACGAGATATTGTAAGTTTTTTACATGATTATTTATGGCATTTGAAATTATTAATATTGACATCTGAAGAGTCTACGTAGGAAAAATAAACTGCTCTATTTTTTTTTTAATAAATCGCAAATAAATTTTTTAAGGAAAAATACAGTAGAAAACTTTTAGTGAAAAAGAAAAAGAGGAAAGTACAATGTTTGTACTGTGTCTCTTAACAGAAATTTTAAACGAAAACTAAGAAACTGTTGTACATAAATGTATACGGTAAAATTTGTCACTCCTAATAAAACTGGACTTATATTTAGGTGGTGAGGACAAAAAAAAATATATATTTTTGCATTTTTGCAATGATAATTTTGATATAAATAAAAAAAAAACAGGAATTATTATCTACCAAATAATCATAATTACGAAAATGGCAGGAATGAAAATACCGTATCCAAGTTCTGGAATCTTAATGATGGTGGTTTGGTACATCGTGGCAGTCCCACAGAACCCTACCCAAGCAGCGCCTCAAGGTAGGTCACAAATCATGCAGTTACCAACAAATATTTCCACTTATCGTCAGTGTAATCTAAAAAATATTACACGTCTTGTGAATACACAGTGCAACAGTGTAAGTTCTTGGAGGTGATATAATTCTTGAACACACAAATAGTGTGTACGTATACTCTCGCATTGCCTGTGTGTTGGCCATAATGTGGCTATACTAGCCAGTGTACTGGCCATAATATGGTTATACTAGCTTGTGTACTGGCCATAATATAGTTATACTAGCCTGTGTACTGGCCATAATATGGTTATACTAGCCTGTGTACTGGCCATAATATGGTTATGCTAGCCTGTGTATTGGCCATAATATGGTTATGCTAACCTGTGTACTGGCCATAATATGGTTATACTAGCTTGTGTATTGGTGATAATATAATTATACTAACCTGTATGCTGGCCATAACATAGTTATACTAATCTGTATGCTGGCTTAGTATAGTTATACTGGCTTGCGTGCTGGCAATAATATTGTTATACTAGCCTGTATGCTGGCCATAATATGGTTATACTAATTTGTGTGCTGGCCATAAGATGCTAATACCAGTCTGTGTGCTAAGCATATTATGTTATACCATCATACTTCTCAGTGTTAAGTTCTACCCTTAATATTGTTCTAATTATCTTTGACTTTTCAGAATTATTGTAAAAAAATAACCAGAATTTAACTTTCGGTGACTAGGAAAGGAAAAGAAAAGCATAGAATTAGGGGGGATATGATCGAGGTGTATATATGGAAAACAGGAATAAATAAAGGGGATGTAAATAGTGTGCTGAAAATTTCCAGCCAAGACAGGACTCGCAGCAATGGTTTCAAGTTGGAAAAAATCAGATTCAGGAAGGATATAGGAAAGCACTGGTTTGGTAATAGAGTTGTGGATGAGTGGAACAAACTCCCGAGTACAGTTATTGAGGCTAAAACGTTGTGTAGTTTTAAAAATAGGTTAGATAAATGCATGGTGGTGTGGGTGGGTGTGAGTTGGACCTGACTAGCTTGTGCTGCTGAGTCTGGTACACTGCTCCATCCTTGAGTGGGGATGACCAGACTGGGTGGGTCATTGGGATAATCCGGGGGGTGGGTCATTGGTCTAATCCGGGGGGGGGGCATGGCCCTGCTCCGAATGGGTCAGTAGGCCTGTTGCAGTGTTCCTTTTTTCTTGTGTTCTTATAACATTTATAAAAAATTCTTTTAGCTAATTGTTCAGGGAAATATTAAAGTCAAAACGTTATCTCTAAGTTCAAGGAGTCCACTGCAGCTGCAGTATAAATCACGGAACGGGTGGGGTTTGAACCCATGGCGAGTGAGTCGTAGAACTCCAGGCCAGAGCATAAGCCACTCAGTCAGCTGACTACAGTAAGAGTTATCCAAATATAGCGAGAAATGTAAATTACTGTTATATATTTAATGCGAATATATAATAACTTAATGTACAACGAAAGTTAGAAATTCGGATCTATGGGAATTGTCTTGGACAGACGAGAGAAAAAGCACTACAAGTGGATATAATATCAGGATCCATAATAACACATAATAACTCAGTTACTGAGTCAACGCTGGATAATGTATCTATCCCCATGCTACGACAATGCTAAGATATCGTTGATAAATGATAAAATTGTGCAACATTTGGGTATCTGTATTCTGGAAACATTTCAGCAGTCAGTGGCTTCAGTCCACTGTAGAGAAAGGTGCCTAATGTATTAACTTGTCTGTTTTCAAAACCATTTATTCAAAACTAGAGATGCCGTATAATGATTATGTTGCTTGGGAAGTGGTAAAAATACAACCTTCCGGAACAAAGTCCTACATAACAAAGTTCTATATAATTTACTTTTGTCTCTGTGGATCGCTTTTCATAGACACCAGAAATACAGGTTGCCTCATCCAGAAGCATGAGTGCTACCACGGGAAACCTAACAGCACCAAATGCGAGAGAAAATGAAGCGGATGGAGCACTGGATGACGTATATGTCGGCTGCCGGGCAGGAGAGGTGAGCCAGGCGTCTCAGACAGAAACTATCACAGTCTTCGTTCCATGATGCAACGCGACTTGACAGAAACACTTCAACTGGCAGACAGCTTCAGTGTTGCATCACACCGCAACGGTACAGAAAAACTATGAACCTACCTAAGAGAACATGATTTACACAATTAAGGCGATATGTCCGAGATATATAAATGGAAAACAGGATTAAATGCAAAGAATGTAAATAACTGGCTAAAAATAGATAACCAAGCCTAGACTCGCAGCATTGGGTTGGAAACATTGAGATTTAATGAGGATATACAAAAGCATTGGTTTGAGGAAAGAGTTGTTGATGAGTGGAACACATTCCCGAGTAGCGACTCGTCCACAACTCTGTCCACTTACAATTGTTAATTACAGATTCAAGGGAATTCATAGGTTAGACAAGTTCATGAGTGGGTGTGTGTGACTTGGTGAGTGTGACTTGGTGAGTGTGACTTGGTGAGTGTGACTTGGTGAGTGTGACTTGGTGAGTGTGACTTGGTGAGTGTGACTTGGTGAGTGTGACTTGGTGAGTGTGACTTGGTGAGTGTGACTTGGTGAGTGTGACTTGGTGAGTGTGACTTGGTCTTGCCTAGCAAGGGCAAGTAGTCCTGCACAGGTGCTTTATCTTTCTTATATTCTTATAAATTGAAGCATGTTCATAAAAAATAATTGTAAATATAAGTACCATTAATAATATAGTGACGATGAATAATATGAATATATATATTATAAAAGCAGCATATATTCTCGCCCAAATTTCCAACAAAAATACAAATGTAATATAATGTATATAGAATAACAAAAAAATGGTTATAACTATTGCCATAATTTTTAAAGGGATGGACCTGTAAGCCAGCGAAAGGCGTCGGTCAGATGACTAAAGCTCCAAAGACTGGTCATCATATGACTAAGACCCACGTTAACTTCGACCTCTACTAGTGAGAACGGCTGGGTTTGAGAGGGACCTGCCCTCCCAAAGCAACCTACGTCTCACCTCCTGGCACTATATAAAGGCTCCATCCTGTCACTTCAACTTCATATTGTTTCATACTATGGAACAATGCTCTTCTCCAGACTGAGGGACTGACCACCTCAAAACTTTAAGGGTGATGGACTGATTACATCGTCTTCAAGTATCTTCTGCTTCTATCAACTTTTCTGTACTCGACTGAAGAAGCCTACTGTGTAGGCGAAACGTTTCGAAATAAAGATACCTAACTGTTGCATATGTGTCTTACCTAACAAAAAAATGGTTATAACTATTGCCATAATTTTTAAAGGGATGGACCTGTAAGCCAGCGAAAGGCGTCGGTCAGATGACTAAAGCTCCAACGGCTGGTCATCATATGACTAAGACCCACGTCAGACAACACTTGTCCTGTTTCCTGGCAAACCTTACCTAACCTAACATTTAAAATATGCAAAGAATATATATAATTTTAATGAAAATGACAAGATTCTCATGAATTCGAGTCATGAATATAGTTAACTCGTAGAAACATACAATATAGGGAAAAAATAATATTTCTGAATAATTTGCTGAATTACCTTCGGTGGAAAACTTAATAAATTAATTCACTTACATCGGTAACCTCGTGAATTCCGAGGTTCAAATGTTCGCAGAATGCCATTTACTTGACGGTTTTCATTCCTTGGAAAGTCTTGATAAATTAGACACATAAATTATCCACATTTGCAATGTCTTACCTAGAATAGGAAAATTAAGATAATTTACATTATGAAAATTATGCAAGAGAAACGAAATGTTTCGTTGTCAGGTTCCTTTTTTGCAACAATATAACTAGCGTAGTAAAATAACTGTTTTGCTTGGGGTGGGTCGAGGGAGGGAGCACAAATTCTGGTAATTAGGAACTCGGGTACTAATGAAAGGTCTGTAGTATCGAGCTGTAAGTCAAGTCCCCAGGCGAGGATCATACCATCAGAATAATGGCGAAGACAAACACCAAAGGTCATTTTTCTGAGTTGTTAAACGAGGCACTTGGCCAGCGTTTGGGGATCTTTGTACTGGAAACGTTTCGCAATGCAATGGTTTCTTCAGTCCAGTGTAGAGAAAAGTGAGGAGGAGTTTGAGGAAATTAATACGTCAGCCTGGAGTCGATGTGTTCAGTTCGTCAGTGTTGACGGACTGAACAAACCGGGCTGAGGGACTAATTACCTCAAACTCATCACCTTTTTTGTCTGCATCGGACTGAGGAAGCCACTGCATGGCGAAACGTTTCCAGAATAAATATACATTCACAAGTGTCTCATTATCAACTTGTCGCTTTTGGAAACCATTTATTCACAATTTTTTTCAGTACCCCTATATTCCCACCATCAGTATTTACAATATGTAAGAGTGCAGTAGAGCAGCAATACGGTCAGATACCATATAAATCAGAGCATTAATGAGTGAGAACAAAGTGAATTTGTTGAATGCTATTTTAACGCCTAAATGAGAAACCAGTATGTGTAGTTAGCCTGCCAGTGAGAAACAGACTCCAGCCAGGAGTGTAAGTATAACGTTAATTCGGTTGGAGTCAACTTCTCTCACAGTAAGTTGAATAATATATATATAACCTGAGACATGTATTTCTCTCAGTGTATATATGCTGAGAGTTGAATCCCAATTTCAGAGATTACAGGATTTTGTTTGATGCTCGAAAGATTATCTTGTCCCTTTTGTCGACGATAGACTTAAAGCCCAATTAACAAACCAAATAAACAAGTCACAGGATATATACACCTAGAGAAGTATTTCTCTGTATGAGTATCAATGCTGAGAGTTCACTGTAATCTCTATTTCAGGGAAGAAAGATTTCTTACACAAATAACCCGCACATAGAAGAGAGGAACTTACGATGACGTTTCGGTCCGACTTGGACCATTTACAAAGTCACACTAACGAAAAGAAGAGGAGGGGTATATATACCCGTCCTTCTCTCCTCTCTTCTATA